AAGCCAGGGGAGAGGCATGGAATGGATTCTCCTTCAATAGCCCTGCTTACACCTGATCTCAGAAGTTCAGCCTCCAGAACTGTGAGAAAATGCGTTTGTGGTGTATAAGCCATCCGTTTGTGGTGCTTTGTTATGGCAGCTTTAGCAGACTAATACAGATTCAGCAGGATTTCAAGCTTCGTGGAAACAAAACTTCTCTGATGACTGTCTTCATCCCTAAGTTAATCAGCCCTACGTAAATCCCTCCAGTTTTTAAAAAAGTTTTTAAATTAAATTATTATTATTATTTTTTGAGGCAGGTCTCGCTCTGTCGCTCAAGCTGGAGTACATGATGCAATCGTGGCTCATTGCAGCCTCAACCTCCTGGGCTCAAAGTGATCCTCCCACCTCAGCCTCTCAAGTAGCTGGGACCCTATATAGGCATGCACATTACCATGCTCAGCTAATTTTTAAATTCTTTGTAGAGATGCTACCCAGGCCGATCTCCAATTCCTGGGCTCAAGCAATCCTCCTGCCTTGGCCTCCCGAAGGGCTGGAATTACAGGTGTGAGCCACTACCTCTGCAATCCTTCCATTTTAAGAAAATTCTAAAATACGGGGGAAAATATCACAGAATTAGAGTTTAATTACCAAAATGTCAGTGAGGGTTGGTGTCTCCACACAGTCTCTCTCTGAAGCCACAGAATGGACAACCACAGCTTAGAACCCACCTACACGACTGGGCCTTAGGGTTAAGCATTACTGGATATCTGTTGTGACCCGTAGTAGATTCTCTTAAAAATAAAAATAAAAAGCCCTTGAATGTAGTGAATTTCTGAGTGTTCTCTAAGCTCCACTTAAGACGTTCCCTTGTTAACTTTGCCAAGATATTTTTGGCTTATTCTCCATTTTGGTCACATCAGGAGTCAGGAAAGCAAGTCCGCAGTTTCCTGGTCCCCAGTGGCTGGGGCAGCTTTCAACCTGTTCACCATTTGCTTCTGTGAAGATAGCGGGGCAGAGAGCTGGAAGTGTCTTATGTAAAAGATGTGAGGTTTGTGTCCTGGGCTGCCACTTAAGAGGGTTTTGTTGTGGTAAGAGCTGAGCATAATAATTTTCTTTTTGATGAAAAGGGAGGCCAGGCGTGGTGGCTCACGCCTGTAATCCCAGCACTTTGGGAGGCCAAGGCAGGTGGATCACCTGAAGTCAGGAGTTTGAGACCAGCCTGGCCAACATGGTGAAACCCTGTCTCTATTAAAAATACAAAAATTAGCTGGGCATGGTGGTGGGCGCCTGTAATCCCAGCTACGTGGGAGCCTGAGGCAGGAGTGTCGCTTGAACCCAGGTCGTGGATGTTGCAACGAGCTGAGATTGTGCCACTGCACTCCAGCCTGGGCAACCAGAGTGAAATTTCATCTCAGAAAAAAAGAAAAAAGAAAAGAGATATTTCTAAAGGTGAAGCACATGGAGAAACAATGTGTCCAGACCAGCTGTGGACGCCATCCCAAATTCTTGCAAATATTAAAGAAGGCGTGTTAAATGTAGTTCAACAACTATGAAGTTGGTGCCAGGATCCTTGACCAGGGAAATATGGGCATGGAGACACACCAGACTCATCTGAACAGGTTGCTGAATCTGATTAGGAAGGAATGCGTCCCTGATTGTACAATGCCTGGAACTCCCTGCAGTGTCACCCAGGATACTACCATTAGCTTGCTTTTGTCTCAGTGAAGACCATACTGTCAGGTGTTCTACAGCCTTGGATGTGAGAGAATGTATAAAATATGGGGCTCTTGGGGATGGATGATGCTAAAGCCCCGAAGGAAAAATTACCCGCTGGAGCTCGGTGTTTAATTCTCCATCCAGCTCCTTCCAAGCCAGAATCCTTAGCTACCACGATGCAGAGCCCAGCAAGCCCTTGCCAACAGGGAGAGCATGCCGTTGTTTGCTTTTTGAAGCTTATGACTACCTTGCCTGCTGACTTGCCTACATCACCAGGGTTGGCGGTGAGAGGTGAAGCCAGCTAGACTTCCTGGGTCTAGTTGGGACTCGGAGAACTTTTTTGTCTTGCAAGAGGATTGTAAAACGCACCAATCAGCACTCTGTAGCTAGCAAGGGGATTGTAAAATGCACTAATCAGCACTCTGTAGCTAGCAAGAAAATTGTAAAATTTACCAATTAGCACTCCGTAAAACGCACCAATCAGCACTCTGTAAAAGGAACCAATCAGCACTCTGTAAAAAGCACCAATCAACAGGATCCTAAAAGTAGACAATTGCAGGGAGGATTGAAAAAAGGGCATTCTGATAGGACAGAGGCAGAACATGGGAGGGGACAAATAAGGGAATACAAGCTGGCCACCCCCCCAGCCAGCAGGGGCAACCCACTCAGGTCCTTTTCCACAGTGTGGAAGCTTTGTCCTTTCGTTCTTCACAATAAATCTTGCTGCTGCTCACTCTTTGGGTCCATGCCACCTTTAAGAGCTGTAACACTCACCACCAAGGTCCATGGCTCCATTCTTGAAGTCAGCGAGACCACAAACCTACCGCAGGAACCAACTCCCGACACATCTGGTGTGACTAATTTGTTGAGCTGGAGTGGACTGTTTTTCCTTGGTAGGAAAGGGTTTAAGACTTCCCTATCCAGAGAAGGCAGAGAGATGTCTAGCAGGGAGTCATTTAGCTGTATAGGGGTGGTCTTCTATTATAGGGAGAGGGAGTTTGATATGTGGGAAGGGCTTCAGGTGTAAAATGCTCTCAGGAGTTGGGGATGCCTAATGAACTGGATTAGTAGATGAGAAAGAAAGGAGAGGAGCACTTCATCTTTCATAGTGCAATCAGGAAACAAGTTCCTCAAGGTGGTTTCAACAGAGAGAAATGAATGAAGGGAACTGGTTGCCCAGGAGGAGCTGAGAAGGCACACAGCGGATGGTGAGGCAGATTGGAGATGGATAAGGCAGGAAGCCTGAACCAGCTGTGGCCTCAGAGGTGGGATTAGCCAGAGACCAGAAGCTGGGGCACCAGGTGGAAACAGGAACCAAACCAGGGTTGCTGAGTGGGAGCTGGAACCGTGGAGGAGGGCACTGTCTGATGGGGGATGGAGCATACTGTCCGAGATGCTGCTAGAGGTAAGAGGAAGAAATACCCTCGCAGGTCCCCATTTCCAGCACCTTTTGCTTGCACAAATTGCTGGAAAGCCATTTGTCAAGGAAACCAAGAAGGGAAAAGGAGACAAAGGGCGCAGATGGAGCTGAGAGCTGACTAGCAGGTGACTGGCATGACCCTGATGAATGAGGTATTGTGTTGGGTGCCTTTAAGGGACTTCTGTTAGTGTGGCCATGATGTCATTGGAGATCAGAAATGTGCATTTAGCTGCTTAAGGTCACATGAGGGCAGAGCCACATGTGAATGTGGGTTCTCTGGCTTAGGTTCTCTAATACCATGGTGAGTACCATTTGCCCTTCTGGGGAAGAAGCAAACAACTGCCTACACTCTTTGTGGGCAAGGGCTCGCCAGGCTGTGCCTTGTGGTCACGAAGGATGCTGGCTGGGAAGGAGCAGGATGGGATGCTTGGGCAGAAGAGGGGTGCAGCTGAGGAGTTGTGCAGGTGAGTCTTGCAGGTGGGTGGTGGTTTAGTACTCCCGCCTGAGCTTCATGGGCCCTCTAGCCTAGCTGAGGTCAGGTCGAGTCCCCAGCACCCTGTGATGAAAGGAGGGCCTGCTCACTATGGTAACATTTCTTTCCTTGGCAACTGTCTGAGCCCTTTGCTCTGGATTAAAGATAAAAAGACACCTCTTTGTGGGAGGGGGCCCCATAGACAGGCCAGGGCTGGGAGAACAATGGGAAGGCTGGAGGTGATGTCTGCCCAGCAGGTACTCCACTGGGTTCCCAGCAGCAACATTTTAGGAGCAGCCATGTGAAAAACGAGAAAGTGGGTTTTGGCCACGGTTTGGGTCATGGAGGGAGAAAGTGAGGGAAACCTCCAGGTCGTGCCAAGATTTCAAAGCAGGAGCGACAGCTCTTTGGCCCAAGTGCAGGCACAGCCCTTGTTGCAATGCTGTCTGCCAGGCAGCGGCTACATTCTGGGAAGACAAAGGCCATGTCAACCCCCAAATCCTTTGAGCTCATCTCTTTTTGCCTCACGGTTGGATCTCCCCCATGAGCAACACTTTCTGGAGATTTGGAGTGGATTTCGTGTTGCAACAGTGTTTTCTAGTAGGCTGCCTAATTTAAGGGGTGAGTCTGCAGAATGTACAGGGAGGATTTGAATTCAGATGATAAGGCCGCATGGATTGCAATGATGACAGATTTATGCACAGCATCGCAGGAAGGTCTCCAAGGCACTGAAAATGTTTCTGCAGGTCACCGCAGACCCTTTGTATGAGACATAATCTATGAAAGTTTTGAATTCTCCGAGTTTTCTCTAGAGTAGTGATTCTGAAATACTGTTGCTAAGGGTCAAAGCTACTTTTCCCAGCCCTTTTCTTTCTCCTCTCATTTTCTGTTGGTTCCTTCTGAAAGGAAGGAGAAGCATTTTCTCACTGAAGCAACATCTAAGTTACAATGCCTCATGCTCACCGTTGCTCCAGGGCCCCAGGGTGCTTTGCAGATATGCAGTCCTGTTTAAATGAGTGCTCCAGTGGTCGATAGGAAATGCTGCTTCAAAGATGTTAACCTGGATGCATAGAAAATTTTCTTAAAATAAGTGTTGACTATTGAAAAAAAGAGACAATTAGAAATGGTACCTTGACTCTACGCTTCTAACTATTGCAGTCTGCTGTATTCTGGTAGTTTCCTGATACGAAGGACATTAAGCAGTGTGTGTGTGTGTGTGTGTGTGTGTGTGTGTGTGTGTGTGTGTTTTAAATCTAGGATTGAATACAGACCATCTATTTTGGGTCTGAATGACCCAGTCTGGCAGTGGGTGATCTCATTCCATTGAACAATTTGGTCCAAAAAGCATTTCATTAATTACACTCAGCGCAACAACGTGCCCAGGAATCTGCTTCTGTGCTTGGGGAATAATCTCACTTTATAAATAACCCACTTTATTTAGCACAGGTCTTCAAGAAAACACCAGACACTGACGTGATGAATTGCTCTCTTGGGAGCAGCAGTGGGTGAGACGGGAGGAGGATGCGAAGTGGGAACTTGGTCCGCTCACTGGAAGACAGCAGCACACAGATCTGCTTGCACCCTGTACCTCATTGTCTAGGATAACAGGATTCCACAGCCTTGCCCTGATAGAAGTAACTCGGTACTTAATGGGTTGATGGTCCACAGTTCTTCCAAGGAAAACCCATGTTTGCTTGCTGCAGCCACCTGGACGACAGGCAGGCTCACCACAGCGCCTGCAGGCCCTTCCTGGTCTCTCAACTTCACTGCTTCCACAAGTGTTTAGCAGATGCCTGCTCCTTGTATTAGGTGCTGGGGATACACTGGGAGAAGACTCTTGTTCTTAGGGAACTTCTGATCCTACGACAAGCCAGTGATTGGGGAGAAGTGGTAGAATGTGGAGGATTCACAGTGTGGACTCACCGCGTGAGCATACAGAGGAGGGACACTCACTGTGGGGCCGGGAGTGGAGGCTGGTGCTCAGTCGTCAGCATTCATTCTCTGGAACTCTGTTGACCCCTGCTTCTATCTTTGCACATAGTAAGTTCTAATGTAACCATGAATTTGGGAAAAACCATGATCATAGAGTTTCTTTCTCTGTCTTCCTTTCTCATCTCTTCCTCCTTTCTCTCTCCTTAGGAACAGCGGTCTTTTCAAAGTTAGCTCACAGGATTGGGAGCAAGCCTGAGATTCCAAACAGTGTTGGAGAGGGTGGAGTGTGGAGAAGCACCTGAGTCTGATAGTGAAGTTAGAGACAGGGACCCCGAGGCCCGGCGTGATTGGAAGCAGGGCACAAAGACGGGTGTAGAGCAGAGGCTGGCCGGAGGGTGAGGAGTCTGGAGGTCAGGAGGCCTGCAGAGGAGAGAAGAACAGAAACAGGGTCCGGAAGTGCCCCGCCCCCGCCACCCCCTCCTCCGCAAACAGGACCTGCCGGACACCAAGGCAGCCTCCTGGCCGGACCCGCACGCCTGTCACACACTCGCCTCCCAGCAGGAGTGACTGGACCCCGGAGCTCACCTGAGGCCTGCAGGTAGGAGCTGGGGAAGGAGGAGGTCGGGGTGAGGGGTTCGCGGAAGCACCGGCAGGCCTGGACTCTTCCTGGCGCTGTTTCGTGGTTTATTTCCCGGCTCTAAACAAGGACGTCCTGCAAACGTCTGATGCATCTGGTTTTGCGGTGACTTCTTAGAGAGCTCAGAACTTCAAGGAAGAACATTTCCTCAGGATGCTGAGGCGTGGACTGGCTTTCATCTCCATTTTCTTCAGCTGATTTCCTTCAGTGTTGTTTTTCTCTTTTGGAAAAAAAGGACACGTTGTTTGTTCGGTCACATGGACTTGTGGTTACTCACCCGTGGAAGGAGGCCACCCCTCGAGACTCTGGCAAGAGCAGGGGAAATTCCTTTCAACACCAGCCCCGAGGAATTCTCATGATCCTGGTTTCCATTTTGGTCAAATTAAAGATGAAAGGACTCGATCCAGCACTGAGGAGGACTGTAATTGTGATTCTGAGGGAGACACAGCTAGATGAAAAACCAGGCTAACCTTTTATCTGGTATGAGAGTGGGGAGGCACATCCTGTTACAAATTGAGCATCCATTGTGTGAGGAATTCCTGCTTCAGGCGCCATCTCAGAAATCAAAGCCTTGCAGGTGAGGAGAAACGACCGCCTGGCGGCAAGTTTGTGTGTTTATTTTCCCACCGAAGTCTTAGATAACTTTACTGGGTGTCTGCCTTCTTTTCAGCTTTGTGTTTTCATTATTTTAGAAATGTCATTAGGAAGAGGCACTTTCCTCGAGAAAGTTTCCAGTTGGTAAAAACAGGACAAGCTGTTTTGGACAATCAGGAACCTTTGCATTTGAAGAGTTCTCTTCCGTACCCCTTACTCCCGGCACCTCTGATACAGGTAGTTCTATGAACTTTAACACTTCTTAAAAATTTTAAATTGTGGTAATGTATACATAACATAAAATTTAACATCATATCCAATTCTTTTATTTATTTTTAAAAGGATTTATTTATTGATTTGAGACAGGGTCTTGCTTTGTTACCCAGACTGGAGTGCAGTGGTGTGATCACAGCTCACTGCAGCCTCAAACTCCTGTGCTCAAGCAGTCCTCTCACTTCAGCCTCCTGAGTAGCTGCGGCTACAGGCTCACGTCCCCACACTGGCTAATTTTTAAAATTTTTTGTAAAGATGGGATCTCACTATGTTGCCCAGTCTGGTTTCAAACTCCTGGCCTCAAGCAGTTCTCCTTCCTTGGTCTCTGAAAGTGCAGAGATTATAGGCATGAGCCCCCTGTGCCTAACCTCCGGAAGTCTTTTCATCCTCCCAAACTGAAACTCTGTACACATTAAATCCTAACTCCCCACTTCCCTCGCGCCACTCTGCAGTCTCTGGCATCCTCTTTCTACTCTCAGCCTCTATGACTGTGGCTAATCTAGGTACCTTATATAGGTGGAATCTGCAATACTTGTCATTTTGTGAGTGGCTTATTTCACTTAGCATAATGTCCTCATAGATTCTTTGACTTTGTCTTTAAAATACGATTTCCTCTTACCATCCAAGGGCTAACTTGTTTAAACTTTGGAAAGGTCATCAATAAAATTTAAAAATATTTCCTAAGCCTGGAAATTGTAAAGACAAGTATGTATCTGTGAAACACCATATTGCTTGCAGCAGAGCAGAACATCTCAGAGGTGAAAAACCAAGTGGACCCACGCCTCCCCTGGTGAAGAACAGGCTCGTGTTAAGTGGCGCCAGCTGGGAACGTCCTGTACAGTAGGGCGCTGAGCCCTCAGGCCCGTAGCCAGGGGCAGGGGATGCTCTGCAGATGTGGCCTGCTCAGGGCCGGTGCCGGTGGTCACGCTGCTCTCCTGGGGCTGTGGCGACAGCTGTCTGTGGAGTGGGGCTGGCAGCAGCCCTGGAGGGAGGCATCTGCCCGGGCTGTCACCGGAGTGAAAGAACAGGAGGCAGCTGCGCAGAGGCAGCGGCAGGGGCAGGAGCAGAGGACACAGAAAAAACACCCTCGATCTCCTTGTGTGCTTTCCCCCAAAGCACAGACCCCAGTTTGGTCGTCGTGCCTCCCCAAAGTGAGGGAACACCACAGAGGCTGTTCCTCCTCTCCGTGTTCAGACCTGGCAGTCTGTTCTTGGACAGAGAAGGCTCATGCCAAGGCAGCTGCGCGGCAGTGTCACACGAAGGCTGGAACAAGGGGGGCTGGGCCGGGACACCAGACCGCTCATCTCACAGACACGGCCTTTAAAAGCTCCTTGAGGTTTTTTTTTTTATGTCTCAGTAGCAATGCAAATAATCTCTGAGAACCGTGACACCGTCTTTTTCAAAGACATGTAATTTGCTGCTGTCAGTGACACGGATTTCCCACCCGAAAGAGCCAATGTGTTTTCTCGCTATTTATCAAATCTTTTCTACTCTGATGACGAATGGAAAATACAATGGTGATTTGTTACTGTTTTGGCATTGTTTGCTATCAGAAATGACACTGGACCAAAAGGGTAATAAGTTACGGTTGCATTCAAAATTTATTCTCTCCTGCGGGAGTATACGCACCCACATATCAATAGGAGTTGATGACTATAATGTGTATAAATTATCTGTGTAATAATTTTCACTCTGAAAAAGCATGTTCCCATCCATCAGTTAATTTTGGCATCACAAGAATGTTTATGATGTTGTTTCGGTTGAAAAGAACGAGACTTAAAGGAGAAGTGGCTTGTCTAAGGCCCTATGGGAAGTCAATTGGGGCTAAAATATAGGTCTCCTGAGTCTTGAACCAGGGCTCTTTCTGCTAAACTAGACTTGAGAAGAACGTGTGAGAACCACAGGAAGCATGGCGAGAGATGTGCTTCTTTCTCCTACTGACTTCTCCCCAGCCCTAGCCCAGACAATCCTGAAATGTTAGAGTAGCGATTGCCTGAGAACCAAGGGGACTATTTGGCTGAGCTGTTTAAAATTGCCATTTTTAAAGGATTAAAACAGTCAAATATCAACAATTTTAAATGTTTCAAATGAATTGCTCTCCCCAGATTTATGTAAGGTTATATTTCCCATGTAGCGTCAAATTGGTCTTTTTATTGGTTAATTTGGCTGGTTGCTTTGCTTTCAATTTTGCTGCCCCTCGGTCTGAAACAGCCAGTGACCTCAGATCATTGTTTTAGTGGCTTCTGTAACCAAATCGAGCCAATTATAGAGGCAGCTGGCCAAACCATGCAGTTAACCCCAAACAAGGCAATCAGGGTCATGTAAATATGACTCACAAATGACCAGCCTACAAGAATTTTCAACAGGTCTAACCTGCTCTTGGTTACTGCACATTTTGCCTGAAAAAACAATTAGATCATATTCTTTTTCTGTTCATCTGGCATACGTTTGTATGAGTTCTGGTGAGTGGGAGATTTCCAAGGCTGTTACGGGGGATCATTAGAAAATCAGGAGGGATCTTGGCCAAATGTCAAGAGTGAAGGAAGGAGCAGCGAGTCAAGCTGCCAAGGAAACACACATTAGAGTCATTCGTTCTCGCCGCTCGGCGGAAGCTGGTAACTCGCTCCACTGGCCAGGCCTCCCACCATCTGGAGTGGAGTCCGGGTGCTCCTACCAGGGATGAATGAGCTGCAAGTGCAGGCAGCCTGGCATAAGGGCTGCGGCCACCAATGCTGGAAGATAGAGCCTCCTGCTTTCTGCAGACAGCAGAGCAATGAGGATGGCGCTTTGTGCATTTTCTGGTTACAAGGTGCTATTGTGAATCAGCTGATATTGAGAAATGACATGGAGCTGTGAAGCCTTTGGTGCTGCTGATTGGGAGGAGCAGTGTTTCTTAGGTGTTTCTCTGTGTCCCTGTTTCTGGCCGCGCGGGCTTCATTTTCACTTTGTGTGCCGAGTGGGAAGAGTTTACAAAAGGGCAGGGCAGAAGAACAGTGGTTCCCACAGAAAGATTACAGATGCATGGGCTAAAGTTAGAAAGACAGAAAGGGGCAGCTGCCCACGATCCCAGCAGGAACATGTCAGACCATGCTGGAGGGAAGCAAAGTCAATGGAGAATGACTTGGTGCAGTGGGAAGTCAGCTCTGTGGACCAAAATCCTTCAGCAACCCTGATGTGTAACATTTGCCGATTTCTGTGGTGTGAAAATAATCCCAGTGTGGCCAATTTCAGATTGCCAATAGCTTAACAACTGACTTGCAGAATTTCTTGGTGTTTGATACTCTTCTCTTTAGAGCCTGTATGAGTTGTCTCCAAAGAGGCACTGAGTCAGTGGCTTAAAGGTGGAAATCAGGCAAAGGTATAAGCAAAGTTAAAGTGTAAGGATATTGGGGTGAGAAGCAAGTGTCTCGGGGTGGACCCATCCCCTGCCCTATTTCGTTTGCCTCCCTTTTTTGTAAGTTCTCCAAGGAGCAGCACTCCCTTGACAAATCACTGCACAAGCATCCCAGTCCCAGGTGACCTAACCCACTCAGGCCCCACCTCTGAAGTACCTAGAGCTGGTGGTCTTCCTACAGACCCCGTCATACACTTGCGTGGCATCAGCAATGTGGCATCAGCAATGCGTGCTGCACGTGCAGTGCAGAGGTCTCCTGTTCCAGCAGGCTGGCGGAGCACCGGGAGCAGTCTGCTTGTCTCCTGGAGGGAGCTGTTAAGGAGCTGTCACTTTGCTGGAGCATGCATTGGTCTCAGATTCCTCTCCTAGCGGTCTCCATGCATCATTTAAAATAGCCAATTGCAAGAGTAGGAATTCAGTTCAATTGTGGGGAAGGTAGAACCCAGCTTTTAGGTACTGTGGGTGTATAATTCTATAGGACGGGCTTATTCAGAAATAAAGTCATATGACTCTGAGTGAAGAATTGAGTAATAATAAATTTTTCTTCCAGTTATGCAACCATTAGTGCTGTGTTTGTGTGTTGGCCAACACGCTTTTTAAGCTAGGCCGCAGTTTTCTGAGTGCAAAAATGAGTGGCAGAAATGAACTGAGGTCTGAGGCTTCTGTCTGTCCTGGCATGCTGTGGTTCTGGGACGCCAGTGGTGCCAGGGCACCATTTCCCCACACTGTTCCATGAAGTCTTCAATCCCTTTATACATTTAATTGTTGGTTTTTGTTCTCCTGGGACATCTAGTGCTCCACTGAACATCACTATTTAGCTGTGCCACAAATAAGGTATTTTTTGGCTCCACACACTTGGAGGGCACTCTGGGTTAAACTAGCACTTTACTGTGAGTCTTCCTTAGAATCTCTGATAGTCTAGGGTACGTTGTGTG